GCTTACTTTTTTCTGTCCAAGTGTTATATGTCACCCTAAATGCTTTACATTCATCTCATAAGATTAAGAACATTTCTCTTTATAAACCACATTATGATACTTAACAAAATTAGCAGTAATTCCATAATATCAGCTATTGAGTCAATATTCCAATTTCCCTGGTTGTCCCAAGAATGTCTTTTAGAGCTATTTTTCCCCGGAGCTAGGGTCCAGTCATGGGCTAGAGGTTACATTTGGTTGCATCTTCAACCTGTAGGATAGCCTCCAACCCCCACTGTTTCCCCCCATGGCATGGACTTTTTGAAGAGTTCAAAGAGTTTAAAGACTACTTTGCAAAATTTCCCATATTCTGGATTTGTCTGATTGTTTCTTCTTGCTATAATTTAACTTGTTCTGTTTTTCTCATTTCTTTGACCTGAAGTTAAGTTTATAGATTTGATTAAATCAAAATAAAGACATTTGGCAAGAATATTTCATTGGCAGTATTGCCTACCTTATACATTAGGAGGTATGTAATTTTTTGTTTTTTTTTTCACTATTAGTGATCTTAAATTAATTCACTTTGAATAATGACTGCCAGATTTCACCATTTAAAAGCACATTCTCTACTTTAAGTAACTACTCTTGACACCTTATATCTTATTTATTAATCTTTCATCTACTGGTTTCAGTCCCCATTAATGATCCTTGTCTGAATGAATGATTACATTGGAGGGTGATTTTTTAAATTTCACCATTCCTTCCAAGTAAGTAGCTAGGATTCTTCTGTAAAGAAGATCTTTACATATTTCCCCTTTCATGCCTTTCTGGTTTTTTGAAGTATGGTGATACTTTGGAAGTATGGTGAACTGGTAAATATTTATTTATTCAATTTGCTATTAAAGTCACTCCTTCCAATGCTCAAATTGTCCCAAATTTAACTAATGAGAGTCTCCTTCAGAATTTCTTCCATTCTGTTTGACAAGCTCCCATCTATTTCTCTTTGCACACTTTTTTTTTTTTTTTTGCAATATAGCATAGCAACATGTTTCAACTTACTTTGTACTTTCCATACTCCAGAATGGGAATTAGCCATTTTCCCAAGGAGTCATGGTTCCAAAAAAGGAGAATTGTTGTGTTTTTTATTTGTTGTTGTTTTTAGTTTAATGATTCTGTTTTCCCCTCCCATATAGACCTTCCCTCATTGAGTTCTGTATTAAATCAGAATCACTAAGTACCAGATCCCAGTATCCCAAATATCCAAGACAAGGGTAGGTTGGGGTAAAAGAGTGGTCTTTGCTATGCCAGAGGAAATCTTTCAGCTTAAGGCAATCATTTTCTACTTTGGCAGCCTACTAGTAATGTATCCTGTCTCTGGTCCTTTTCCCTTTACCTCTGATTTTTCTCTCACATGACTTTTTTTTTCTCCCTATCTCCCTATTCATTCTACTTTGACCTTTACTTGTATTTTTCTACATAATGCATTTTGGAGTTAAGGCTTTCAGCTTTGCAAAATGACCATTTCCATCAGCCATTTCAGCTAATTAATTTGATATTTAGGTTTTGATATGATCTTAATTTATACTTATGTTTTTATGAAGATTTCTTTCTTTGATGAGATTGTGATGACTGCTATTTCTTTCAGTTCTTGAATAGCCGTTGGACAGATTGCCTGTATGTTTTCTTGTCAGTCACGGTTTGGTGTACACCTTCTCTTAGATTGGATGTTCTATATCTGTTGCATTCTTTTCTGTCATTTGGCCAGGATTGAGTTAAATATATCTTTTCTATTCTCAGAATACTCTCTCCCCTGTATCAGTGAAGAAAGCATTTTACCCACAATTTCCTTATGTAAATCTCTCTCTCTCCAGATGGAAGGGTGAAGTCTCATTGTGTTAGGAAAATAACTATATTGCCTGGACATATATTTTGGATTTTCCAGGAAAAGGAGAGCATTTCAAAATCTGGTGAAACAAGACAGATATAAAAAACTGATTAAGGATAGGACTGCCTGTTTTTATATTCTGCCGCATACATAGCATTTTTAAATGAATTTGCCTATAATTTGTCTTTAAATGCTGACATTTAACTCTTAGGCTGTATAATTGTGCTGGCTTTTTCCAGAGGAAAATTCCTATTCTGCATCCAAGCTAATATGTTCATCTACTATAAACATTACTGCCTATGGTAACAGCCAGACTAAAAAATTCTTTTTATATACATCATAGCTGGCAGGAACTCTTGGGACCACTGCACATCATTCTCGTCTTTTGAAGCTTACTGACAAAAAGCATGGCAATGGAAAACCAGCCTGGTCTGACATACATTGACTGTGAAATCCTATTAGCTTATTTAGAACACTTTTCATTCTATTGTTACTGTTTTTATGATTCTGAGTATTTAGCAAGCTCTTCTAATTAATGTATTCTTTAAACTTAGTAACCTGTCCTTTTATTAAAAGCGCTGCTCTTCTACGAGCCATCTCTGGCTCCTTTTTTTTTGTTAAAGGTTAATAATAAGAATAATGAAGCAATTGGTTATTTATGCAGTCATGATTGGCAAAAGTTATTAGAACAGGAACCTGCCCAGAGGCGATGATTAGGTTATAAAAATGTTAAGGAATACTGAAACCAGTCACCATTTTTGACATTTACAAAATACTATTCCCACCCTTAATCATGATGAGCTGTTGTAAAAGTATTTATACAGAATAATCTCATTGGACAGTAAGTTTTATACCAACAGCATACATAATAAGTGTAAGGGGGGAGAGTTAGAAATTATCTGAGAGAAAAATGGGCCTGTGGAGGAAATTATCACAAGAGAAGGAATAAAAATCTCTCTTGGATGGAACTGTCACCCACCCCTGATCTGCACAGTTAGGTGACCTTTCCAATTTAGCATCTTCATCTTGAGCACTTTGCAAGTGTGAGGAACTGTAGGAGAGAGTATACCCAATTAGGTTGCTGTGTTCTTCATGTTAGACTCCGAAAAATGTAGAGAGGTATATTGGCCAGGAAATTTCCTGATTATGGGTTTATTAATGAAACATTGACTTAATTGACATTATATAAAAACAAAACAAGGAGCGCTTGGGTGGGTCAGTGGATTGAATCCCACATCAGGCTCCCTGTTGGGAGCCTGCTTCTCCCTCTGCCTGTCTCTGCTTCTGTCTGTGTGTCTCTCATGAATAAATAAATAAAATCTTAAAAAAAATCTAATTATAATCCCTTTGTGTTTAATATAGGTAGAACTTTCTTTGTAAATTAAGCAGTAATTATTTTCACCAAAATAGTATTATCACTTCTACTCTGCATCTTTTGTAGCAGTTTTATTGAGATATAATTCACATTTAATAAAATTTACCCTTCTGAAGTGTTCAGTCTACAGCCATGCCACCCTGAATGAACCCAGTGTGGTCTAAAGTGTGAAATTCAGTTGTTTGACAATATTCCCAAAGCTATGCAAACACAACCATCTAATTCCAGAGTATGTTCATTACCCCACCCACCCAGAACCAGTACCCTTTAACAGTTGTTCCTTATTCCCTTACCCCACCCTAGCTGCTGGCAAACACTAATGTACTTTCTGTCTGTGGATTTGCCTATTCTGGGCATTTTGTTTCCTTCAGCTCTTCTCATATAATATGTACTTCAGAAAATTGGAGAAGAGAAAGTGAACATGGATGAATATAACTTTTATTTGTGATCTTGTATACTTAGAACTGAATATTGTTTCCCCTAGTTCGTTAGAATAGATATTTAAAACAATAACAACAAAAAAACCCATCTTTATATTAATAAAATCGTACAATATGTGATCTTTTATATCTGACTTTGTTTGCATAATATATTCAAAATTCATCTATATTGTAGCACGTAGCAATACTTTGTTTCCTTTTATGGCTGAAGAGTGTTCTGTGTTAAAAAAAAAAAAGAGTGTTCTGTGTTGTATATACGCATTTAGTTTATCCATTTATCACTTGATGACATTTGGGTTGTTTTCACTTTTTCACTATTATGAAGAATGCTACCCTGAATATTCATGTACAAGTTTTTGTGTAGATATATATTTTTTATTCTCTTGGGCTTATATCTAAATGTGTAATTGCTGAGTCATGTAACTCAGTGCCTAACTTTTGAGGGCACTGCTAAATTGTTTTCCAAAGCAACAGTGCCATGTTACATTCCCATTAGCTATATATATAGGAGAGTTGTAATTTTTCCATATCCTTGTCAAAGTTTTATATTGTCAGTCTTTTTAATTATAGCCATCCTAGTAGCTGCAAAGTATTATCTCATATTGTGTTCTTGATTTGCATTTTCCTAACATTTAATGATATTGGGCATATTTTCTTGTGCTGCTTGGACATTTGTGTATTTTCCTTTGGGAAATGTCTATTCAAGTTCATTGTTTTTAATTAGATTAAGTAGTTTTTATTGTTGTAGAATCGTACAAGGTCTTTATATATTATGAATACCAGTTCTTTATCATCTATATAATTTGCAAATATTTTCTCTCATTCTGAAGGTTGTTTTTGCAATTTTTTAATGGTGTTCTTTGAAGCAAAAGGGTTTTTTAAATTTTGAAGTCCAATTTATTCATTTATTCTTTGCCTTCTGTGCTTTCAGGTGACTATTGCCTAATTCAAGGTTATGAAGATTTACTTTTGAGTTTCCTACAGTTTTAGCTCTTGTATTTAGGTCAATGATCCATTTTCAGTTAGTTTTCATGTGTGAGAGAGGAGTCTAACTTCATTCTTTTGCATGTTTATTTTTATTTATTTACATGTAAAGGCTTAAGAGGAATTTCTCCTCAAATGAGATGACTATTGCTACTCTCTTTATGAATTATTGTTTTCATTATTTTTTTGGTGGAGATATGTACTGTATTCATCTACTTGCACTCATCAAATGTGGTTGCATTTTTTTCTCTCTTGTTTATTGGAATCTAAAAAGCAACGCTGATAGATGCAGTTTGAATCAGTTTATTCGTTTTTTTCCCTTAATTTGCAATCTTACCTCTTCAGCTACAGTATAGAGAATGCCAAGAACTTCTAAGTCTCTATCAGAAATATCTATCAGAACAGCAAGAGAAACTCACCATATCTCTCTCAGAACTTGGTGCTGCTAGAATGCAAGAACAACAGGTAAGCATCTTTATTCTTACCTTTTCTTGACTTTTATGGATCAGCAAGATGTCAGAAGAATCATTTGCTTTACCTTGAGTCACAGAATATAACACTGTCTTAAAGTGTGTAAATACAGCATGTGATTGAGTTAGTGTCATTTACGTCCTTTTTTTCATCTCCCTGTTCCTGGGGCCCAGAGGTCAGGGATGATTGCTTGAAGCAGGGTATGGGTCAGTGGGAGACTTCCTAGTTGTATGAAAGCACAGCAGGAATGGTAAAGAAAACTCACTGCTCTGTTGCTTACAGAAAATCAGGTGGCCTGTTTGTTACTCACTGTCCTTATGGAAAACACTAATGAGCCTATCCTAACTCATGGTTAAATTTTTACAATAATAAAAGTGACTTGGTCACTTATAAAATCTTTAATCGGAGAAAATTCTGGATGATTTTATGTTTGTGTGTATATATTAATCACATAAGTATATATGAGAATCTTTGTATATAAACACATACGTATCATTAAATGGCACATATTGTATAATTAAATGACAGTTCAGAACCCTGCCAGTTGTGATATGAAATAAGCTCTAAAACTTGCCCTCTAACAAGTGATACTTGGTATCTTTTGCATATCCAAATGAGTTTAAATCTTCAAATAGATGAGAACAGAAAGTCTTATATACTAAAACATTGTAGAAAAACTGTGAAGTGGGGGCCAAGCCATTCATATTAAGTATTAAAGCATACCTAATGTGCTAAGGTGTTATCTTCCCCTTTTGAATAATATCAGATCCTGTGAATGGTTCTTTGCAACCCTTCTAAAGAACATAATTGCTGTTCAGCCTAGAGACAACTATCTCAGATATGTTAAGAGCCTGGGCCAAGAAAACTTCACTTTTGAACTTAAAGTTTAGGTACACCTTTAGATAGAAAGATTAAAGTAATAGGTAATAATTTTCCTGGAATGTTCTGTAGCTCAGATTTAGAACATATCCTTGTTTTGAATAAATGGCCTCACCTGGCTGGCTCAGTCAATAGAGCATACAGCTCTTGATCTCAGAGTCGTGAGTTTGAGCCCCATGTTGGGCGTAGAGATTACTAAGAAAAATAAATAAAGTTTAAAAAAAAAAGAAAGAAATGGCCAAAGAATGAATGGGTTATTTGTATTCTAATTAGAAATAGTTTCTTTTGTTCTGATTTCTGAAAAACCTAAGCTATAAAATGAGGCAGAGAAAGGTGACAGCTAATCTTGATGCTTTAGCTGGATGTTCCCCCAGCACTTTGAAAGCAGGGCAGGCGGTTTTGTTTTGTTTTGTTTTGATTTCCTATTTATTCAGTGAGAGAGAGGCAGAGGGAGAAGCAGGCTCCATGCAGGGAGCCCGACGTGGGACTTGATTCCGGGTCTCCAGGATCAAGCCCCAGGCTGCAGGCAGCGCTAAACCGCTGCAACACCGGGGCTGCCCTAGGGCAGGCAGTTTTGAAGGTGGTTCTTGCCTCTTGCTCTCGAGTGGGCAATTTTGAAGAGAAAATTGTACATAAAGATCATATTTCTGACCTTTGCTTTTGTAGTTCCACTCCTTCCCTCTGTATGACATAAGTGTGTTGGGAGGCACAAAAATGAAGGGCAACCCATTTGGCAGGGTTATTGGAAGGGAGGCAGAGGGGTTTTCATTTGCCGGTGTAGAGTCTTAGGACCTTAAGGGTATAGACTGAGAGTCAAGAAATAATCACTAGAGGCCTCTAAAGATATCAAGGGGGCTCTGAAGACTTCCTAAATAAAGAGACCTCACTCTTTTTATCAACTTATGAAATTGGGGGAAAATAAAACTTTCTCAGGTATTAATGTTTTATGTTTAAGCTAGTGATTCTTGGTGATTTCACTAGAGATCCATCATAATGAGCACTGACTCTCTAACCTAAACTTTGAGGAATAAAACTAAAAAGATCACTAATAGTAAAATGAAGATTTTGGCCAAGTACATGGAGAGAACACCATTGAAAACAAAACAAAACAAGAAAGATACTTTTAAATTTCCATTTTAACTTAGTCATGAGAAAATTTTAAAACCATGTTTTCAGGAAATGCCTGGTAGTCAAGTCATTATGTCTTACATGCAATGAAAATGAAATTGAAGCCACTTATAGGCTCTGCCATTTGCATTTAGAGAAGGAAAATAAGTTTCTTTTTGAATGCCAAGTGGAGATTGTCATCTTGTTCCCTGTGTCATCTGCTTTGTTCTTCATGACAAGCTTTTCTTACCTAAACAAAAGTATAAACACCTTCTCATTCCTTTTCATGGGAATTGGGTAAATTTGGTCAATGAGTTTGTTTTCTGTCAGGAAGGGCATCACATCGTGAGGACTCTGATCCTGAATGAGGATATCAGGTAAACATTAAATATTATTTGTTCTCAAAATAAGGTGTTTTTTTTTTAAATTTAACCAATTTCTAGATTTTGTGATAGAGATGGTAGCAGTTCATTTTTCATGAGGCATTTATTTTACTTTAAGAGATGTTTTCTGTTTCTTCTTTGCATTGGTGGCATCTGCTTCAAATTGTATAAGTTTTGCTTATAGTTTTATTAAATCCACAGTTCTCCAGAAGAATGCTCTACCTTATGATTTTATTCTTTGACTTCTATCATTTCCTTAAAAATAAATTATTCTATTTACAAGGTGAATTTTTTCCTCATTTCTCCTTCATTCTCTTTCTTGTTATGCCTCAAAGGTGAATTTTCTAATTTATTCAGCATGGATTCATTGTGGTGTCTAGAAATGTTTTTCACTTGTTCTACTTAGATTAAAATATTTCATTGATATGTATCTGTTACTTCATTCCCCTCTTAAGAAATAGTTCTTACCCACGTATAACCTTGATCTTGGATGTGGAAGGATCTAGTAACCACAGTTTTAGCCAATGTACATTTTAGAGTATACCTTTTTTTACCACGATTGAGTGTTATTTCCTCTTTTGTGAATCTGAACTTAATGTCACCTCAAGCTATCATGCTTATAGCTTCTATTTTAGTCTTATTTGATAGGCTGTACCATTTTAGAAATGTTACAGTATTTCTGAAGTATTCTTTATTTTAAGAAAAGACCTAGGTAGCATTTTGAGTAGCTTCTCCCACTGTCATTCAAAAATGTTGGTATAGAAGCCTACCTTAGTATTTTTCTTACCTCTTCATTTTTTTTTTTTTTTGGTCAAGAAGATAAAAAGAGATTTGGTATCTTTTTGAGATTTCCCCTTTTCTATAAATTGAACAAAATCATCATTGCTTTTCAGCCATAGGCAATAGATATTAATGAATCTCTGCTGTTCTGACCTGGTAAAAGACCTTTTATAGAAACTTTTCCATTTTGTTCATGATTATGTGTTCCATGTTCCTTAATTTGGGTCTGGGTCATGGACTGAACAGAATTTGAAATATACTAAAGATAAATCATTGCTGAGTACATGTTAAATGTTTCTTGGTGGTTTCTACTACCATGGTCTCTATTGTTTTGTCAAAAGAGTTTTTGTTGTCCTTCAGTCCAAAGTGCCTTAGGACTACTTCCTGTTCTATGATTATTTCCTTGTATTGTTTTGATTAAATTTTTGTTGTTGTTTAACTACTGTATGTAGTCATGTGGTAATTGAGTTCCTTACCATTTTAATTCTATCTAATTTTAATGTGTATTTAATGTGTAATATTTATTTTAATTCCATCTAGTTCTAAGCTATCTTTGAGTTTGCTATAAGAAACCTAGATTTTGGGATCCCTGGGTGGCTCAGCGGTTTAGCACCTGCCTTTGGCCCAGGCCATGATCCTGGAGTCCTGGGATTGAGTCCCACATCAGGCTCCCTGCTTGGAGACTGTTTCTCTCTCTGCCTGTGTCTCTGCCTCTCTCTCTGTCTCTGTTTCTCATGATTAAATAAATAAAATCTTAAAAAAAAAAAAAAGCCTAGATTTTATTGGCAGTCCAGAAGTCTCACCATACTTCTCTGACAAACCAAACCAAAGAAAAAGTTATGTTCTTTGGATATCTCTAATAGAATGTCTGGCTCAAATGTACTAAATTCCTCACAGAATAAGAGATCTGTAGATATAAAAAGAATATGATTAACAGCTGACTTCCCATCAGAAACAATGGCATAAAGAGGCAGTAGGATGCATAGTCAATGAGATAAAGAAAAAAACAAAAACCTGGCAATCAAGGAAAGCTATCCTTCAAAAATAAAGGTGACATAAAGACATTCCTAAATAAATAAAAACTGAGAGTTGGTTGCTAGCTTACCTGCTTTACAATAAATACTAATAGAAGTTTGTTCACATGAAATGACATAAGACAGTAATTCAAATTCACTGAGAAATAGAGCACTGGTAAAAGTAATTCTGCATCCTTTTTTATATAACTTAAAAGACACCTGGATAAAACAATAATTATGCAGTTGTATCATTGAGATACAAAGATACAAAGATGGTGTGTGTGTATTTGCACAAACGGAGGAGAATAGAAGAGCTATTTTGGAGAAAGTTTTCTGTTAGTGAGATAAAACTGTCTTTGTTCATAAACAATGTGATCTCTATGTAGAAAATCTTAGGTAATAAAAAAAAACCTGATAGAACTAATAAATGAGTTCAACAAGGTTACAGGATACAAGATCAATAGGCAAAAATCCATTTTATTTCTGTTTGTTACCAATGAACAACTTAAAATGATATATTTAATAAAAGCAGAGTAAGACTTGTACACTGAAAGTAACAAACCATTGCTGAGAGAAATTAAAGATCTAAATAAATGGAAAGTATTCCATGTTTATGGATTGTAAGACTCAATGTTGTTAAAGTGGCAGTTCTTTTCAAGTTAATCAAGATATGTTGCAATTTCTATCAGATTTCCCGTGGTTTTGATAATCTGTTTTTTGCAGAAATTGATAAAGTGTATTTATATGGAATCTCAATAAAAACAGCCAAAAATAATTTTGAGAAAGAAGAGCAAATTTGAAGATTATTCTTTCTGATTTCAGAATTTAC